GAGCTAAACTAAAAAAATAGTGATTTTATGTTTGATGAGATACTCTTGTGATTATCTCACCAATGGAAATGCTCTGATACTTGATGTTACGCTTGGTAATAGGTTTTCGGTTGAAGGATTAAATAGATTGTTTCATGTTCCGAGGTTGTGTCTCTACCCACATGTAGATTTGTGGCTTCGAATGGAAGTTGTGGAGATTATGGTTCGTCAAGCTGCAGCTTATGAGGTCCCAGAGTGGCCCCCAGTGACAGAGAGGCTTTCGATATAAGAAGTTTGATCAGACGATTTTTATGATCTAGGTTTCTTTTTTGGGTTCTTATTACATAGTATAATACTTGGATGTGTAAAGGATGATTTTGTTACTGTTTCTACGATTTGAGACTAGATCAAGATGTGATGTTTTGAGACAATGCCATTTGTAAATAAGTTTTCAATCAACGTTTGAGATGTTTCGCCTTCATTTCTCTGTTATGAAAACTTTCTTAAAATAGGTGATGGAGAAGCTGAGGGAGAGAGAAAGCAGAACAGAAATGTTCTTCTTGCATGTCGTTGAAATTTTATTAGATCCTAAAAGTTTTTCAAAACAATCTCTTTGATTTAAGATTCAAATTAACTTGATTGGATCGATGGTTCTGCATTTTGTGAAAGGTCTTGATCATATATAACGCGAGAAGCTTCCTGTACAAGTAAGCTTTACCGGTTAGTTAGATCCATATATCTTCAAATGTTTCAATTAAAACAATTAGGGTTAAACATACAAATATTTAATGTTGTTTTTGATCCCATTTGATGTAGGAATATTTTGTTGGTATTGAATGTATTTGTAACCGTTGATCTAATGGAGGAAGCATCAACATCGACATCAGTACCAATGGCCGCGAAACCAACCATTGTTAGGAAGACAATGGCGAAGCAACTGACCGGGAAACGTGAAGATTCACCGCTCCATTTGGCTGTAAGACGCGGAGATTTCTCTGCGGTGAAGAAGATTCTGGGTGATCATATAGAATCAGAGGAGGAACTAAGAGAGGTGTTGCAGAAACAGAACCAATGCGGCGAGACCGCACTTTATGTAGCGGCAGAATATGGCGATGCCGAGGTGGTTTCAGAGCTGATCAAGTACTATGATTTAGACGATGCCGAGACCAAAGCTAGAAATGGGTTTGATCCTTTCCACATTGCTGCTAAACAAGGCGAATTGGGTATGGAATTTTGTCTGATTTTCTATCCATAATGATTGATTTTTAGAATTGAGAGAAAAATTACTTAAAAATATGATGAAAGTTTTAAGCATTGTTTGATCTCAAGAACTGGGAAGAAAAAATTACATATGAAAGGTTTATTATTTTGTTCTGCGGGATTTCCATCCAAATTAGTTATAAACATAAAAACATGATCACAATCTCTGACTGATTTTAAAGGAAGATTCGCTTTTGAATATTTTTGTATAGAGGTTTTGAGAGTACTAATGGAGGAACATCCGGAGCTAGCAATGACGGTGGACTTATCAAACACGACGGCTCTACACACGGCGGCGGCTCAGGGACATGTGGAAGTCGTAGAGTATCTACTAGAAGCAGCAGGGAGTAGCCTAGCCGCAATCGCAAAGAGCAACGGGAAAACGGCATTGCACTCGGCGGCTAGGAACGGTCACGCGGAAGTGGTAAAGGCGATTGTGGCGGTTGAGCCGGACACGGCGACAAGAACCGATAAAAAAGGCCAGACGCCACTTCACATGGCCGTGAAGGGACAAAGCCTTGATGTGGTGGTTGAGCTAATGAAAGGACATCGATCGTCTTTGAATATGGTCGATTCCAAAGGGAACACTGCATTACATATTGCTACTAGGAAAGGTCGCACTAAGGTACGTTCTTTCAAATTAGATTTAAAACATAAATGCAAACGCTAATCGCAAAAAAAATATTCACACGCGCAAATTTTTGTTTTCCTTAGTGTTTGGCTTTGACAATTAACAAAATAGTTTTGTTTAAAATGCTAAACATAACTTATTAATTTTTTTTTTTTAAATATTCCGTTTATAACATATAAACGCAAACAAAGAATCGAGTAACTAACATGTTAAATTTATGATAAATCTTGAATAATACGTGTGAGTTTGTGTGTTTGCAGATAGTGGAGTTGCTTCTAAAGAACAATGAGACGAGCAAAAAAGCAATAAACAGAGCCGGAGAAACGCCGCTCGACACGGCCGAAAAGACCGGCCACCCGGAGCTTGCCGCGGTTCTCAAAACGCGCGGCGTTCCCTCCGCTAAAGCCATCAACAACACAACACGGCCTAACGCAGCGGCGCGTGAGCTCAAACAAACAGTGAGTGACATCAAACACGAGGTTCACGACCAGCTCGAACACGCTCGGGAGACGAGGAAACGCGTTCAAGGAATCGCCAAACGCATAAACAAAATGCACATTGAAGGTCTCGATAACGCGATTAACTCCACCACAGTCGTAGCCGTTCTAATCGCTACAGTCGCTTTTGCCGCTATTTTCACCGTCCCGGGACAATACGCGGACGAATTAAGTTCGCTCAGTCCAGGACAGAGTCTCGGAGAGGCGAACATCGCGGATCGACCCGCGTTTGCGATATTCTTTATATTCGATTCCATCGCTCTTTTTATATCTTTAGCGGTTGTGGTGGTTCAGACATCGGTTGTTGCGATTGAACACAAGGCAAAGAAGAATATGATGGCAGTGATAAATAAGCTGATGTGGTTAGCTTGCGTTTTGATAACGGTGGCGTTTTTGGCGTTAGCGTTTGTAGTGGTTGGAGAAGAGGAGCGGTGGTTAGCGGTTGGAGTGACGGTGTTTGGTGCGACGATAATGCTCACGACGCTTGGGACGATGTGTTATTGGGTCATTATGCATAGAATCGAAGCTTCGAATGTGAGAAACGCAAGGAGAGAGTCGATGGCGACGAGAAGACAATCTGGATTGTTGGATTTTTCTGGGATTTTGACAAAGAGAATGTATGCTATTTAGTGATTTTAGAGACAAAGTATATGTGTTAAGAAGTTTCGATCTTGAAAAATGAAAGATTTGTTAAAGAAGGACAAAGCAGAGACTGAAGCGTGTGGAGGAAGTAACCGAAGTTGATTCGTGAATTTTTGTCAGGTTATGGCTTTGAGCAGTATTATTAGGTTGAACTTAAAAAAAAAAAAAAATTTCCTTGCTAAACAATCTGTATTTGATGCAATGTTTTAAACTTTAATAGTTGTAAAATGTTTTTTTTTTCCATTGAAACATGTATTGATGATTTTACAAAATTTCGCTAGTTTTTTCTTAACGAGTTTTTTCTCTCTAATATATTTATACACAGTCCAGATGTTCAAAAAAAAAA